ATGAGTTTTGAACCTCCTATCTAGCCAACATATTGCTTAGGGGTGTGATAACTTAACCACTTCACTAAGTCACTATTCCCTTAATTATATTTAATTTGATTGTTATTATATTCAAATTTAATAACTATTATATTTAAAATTGATTGTTGTTATATTTTAAATTTAATTTGTAATCCATATACCAATCAAAAGCTGTATATATTACTATATATGGGCCATCAAAAGTAGAAACCAAGGAATTTGATAATTTTTTAAAAATTAACCTTTTTGATTGATCAGGTGTGAAATTTAAAGCCCGATTTTTTTATTTAATAATAAAAGCCTGATCACTTAATAAATTTTTGTGATATGATAGTTAAAAGCTTTTGATGCTATAATCTAAAAATAGGTTTACTGAGATTTACTATGCAATCTACAATTCTACAGATATAATAATTCTGTTTAAACAGGTTTGTTAATATTGAATAACCTATTTTTAGATTGTTTTGATTTTGTGTAACAAAATAGTTTTTGCTAATTTTCTCAAAACCTGTAATCAGCCAAATTCCCTGGTTTCTACTTTTGGGGCCCATATAGTAAACATGATGCAAATTAATTCTTGTAAATTTTAGAAATCTGACACTGTCAGAGCAATAACGAATTTTTTTACTAAGCTAATCTCTTTTTAGTATCTAATAAAAGTTGTAAAGCATATTCTTGCGATTTTAATAGTAGTAAAATTGTTAAAATTGGTTTGGTAGATCATGAGATATCATTAAAAAATATTTCACAACTATATAAAATTTTTATATAAACAATAATATTGTTTACATAGAAACTTTATATGGTTGTAAAATGTTTTTTAATGATATCTCATAATCTACTAGACCAATTTTAATAATTTTACTACCATTAGAATTGCAAGAATATGCTCTACAACTTTTATTAGATACTAAAAAGAGATTAGCTTAGTAAAAAATTCACTATTGCTCTGACAGTGCCAGATTTCTGAAATTTATATAAACAATAATTAATTGTCCCTAGATATATTCGCTACTTGGTATATGGATCATGAATTAATTGTTAATTTGTTTAAAATTAGTGGCCAAAACCTGTATAGTATATAATATTCATACAAGTAAATATTGAAAGTATAAAGTTTTTATTTCAAAATTCTAATATTCAAAAATCCCAACACAAGTTTTTGAAACAAATTTTGACTCTATTAAAATTCTAATCTGATAACAAAATCCCAATATTACCAAAATCCTAACAGTACTAAATTCTAAAATTTTGCTAATATTAGATCAACTTATATAAATTTTATAAAAATATATTTGCTAATGCAGTTGAAACGTTTTATCATTTAGAATTATCATCAAAGATACTATAATTTGCTTATCTTTTTTATTCAATAACAATGATTGACCCGTTGTATATCTTTCGGCACCTCAACATAATCTACATCTACAACTGTTTAAAATATTCAAATGCTTTTTTTACATCTTTTTTCGATACCAATTAGGTTCTACCGGTGTGCCCATCGCAGCGGATTTTTGATGATATCATTATCTGTCCATTTTCAATTCAAATTTCATCTCGATAATAATATTTGCCATTATTTATTTGCTAACATGCCCTATTCAGCAAATGTTTGGTGACAAAGGAATGCTTTCATTTTCATAACGATATCCAACATTACATATTTATCTAGCGCCTACCATCACTGATTTTTGATAATAAATAAATGTTATCGTTATATATTCATACTTTTCAACTCCAATTCCATCTCGATAACAATATTCAACTCCAAATATTACATTATAATTACCTACATCTGTAGATTTTTGATAATAAACTAATGCCTTATTGTATTACCTAAGGTTATAACAATAACGATAACAGCAAGGGTCTAAATTAGGTTTAAAACTAAAATAAAACCTGATACCTCTCCTTTTAACGTTAAATTACATATCTTTATTTAGCAAAGGACGTGCCTAAAGCTAGCACTAGTAACTATAATTAATTGCGCTATTTAATAGACATATGACTTTAATTGAGTTTTGATCCCGTGATGATTTGAGGCAAAAATTGCTCCTACATTCCTATATCGGGCAGTTTTAAATTCAGGTCGTAAAAACTTCTAATTAAAAATATGTTTAAAGTTTTTCGATTTTTTTTTATGAAGACCAAAAGATATAAATATTAAAGTTTAAATTTCACTCAAAAGAAGGCGTTTAAAAAAATTTTCTGTGCTTCAAATGTCAATACTTTTATGAATTCAAATTATCCATATATGTATATAAGCGCAGATCATTGAGCATTTCACTTTTAATCAAACATAATAGTTACGGGAAAACCAACTTCCTACGTAAACCTGTGTAAAATTGTGCCAAAGAATATTATATTGAAGATGAAAATAAATATCATTGTTTCGTAGGTAAGTTTACTAACAAAGGCCGTAATTAGACGTGCAATCAGTCCAGAAATCACTTCTACTCTAGTCACTACATTGTACGGATCCTGATCCATACATTTCTCCCAAAATGTACAATTCTCTTCCAAGAATGGCACTCGACTCTCTGGATCGCATTGATTTATATAATAATCTTGCGTGCATTTTTGTACTTGTCGTGAGACTCCTAAATATCCGTAAAGTTTTTAGACCAATGTAATAATAACGTTTATAAATTTAACAACTTCCAACAAACCTGTTGCTATGCTTTCAAGCTCAGCGTTAACAGCGGACAGAAATGCAGTCGAAAATTGGACTACCGTGAATACTATTAATGATAGAATCACCAAAACAATTGAAAGACAGGTAGCTTTGATAAGAAAATAAAGATAACTAACAATTTTATATTAAATGACGTCAGTCACAACAAACTTCTATATTTATCAAACCAAGGTTTAATTCTGGTGCTACCTGCATATATCTTCCAGAAGATCGTTAAACGAATACGGATATCTTCGATATATTCGTTGCTTCGTTCTCTCGTTGTCTATATCAGTATAAAGATCTGAGCCAGATAAGGTTGACTCTTGAGTCAATGTCGTTGCAAATGACGTTGAACGTGGAATAGATTCGAAGTTTCCGTACAGATCTTCGGCGTTATTTATATTGTTGTCATTTTTTCTCACGAAAAGCGTAAGTGCTTGAGTCGGAATGGATTGGGACTGATGCGGACTGTCTTCAATATCACTATGTTCACTACTTTTCATTAAGGAGAGTGCAATAGCCTGGTTTAACATAGCCTATATAATATATATGTATTAATTAGTGAATTACGTTCGTTAAACAATTAATCTTTTAATAAATACCTGCTCTTCTTCATCTAATAATTCGTTTCTAATCCTTTCTTGCACGCAAGTCATAATTCAAAAAAGTAAAAAAAAATGTGTTAGTGAAAGCATGTACTGGGGTGGTAAATCAATAAATATATAGTTGCATAAGATATCTTTGTACCCCCAGCCTAGTGATCCCGTCCGATTATCGTTTATTTTCCACATCGGAAATTTTAGAAATGGCAATAGCCCTGGTTTTTTTCTCGTTTAACCGATTTTGAAAAAACAATTGATAAATTTGCTTTAGCTAATTTGTTCATTGTCGGCAGACCGGTCTTATTTCATGTGATATAAAATGTAATACGACAATTAAATACGTACGTCATATTAATTAATATGAAGTATATTTATATATATATATATGTACAGTATATATTATTTAAAAATTGATTATTGTTATTGCCCCTAGATGATATTATCTAGTTATATAAAAGTCAATCAAATTACAAAATCTTGTATAATATATATAATTATAACAAAGTAAGCAAAAAAAAAAACTAAAAAGTATATTGTAGATATTATATGTATTACGAATTTTAATAAAAAAATATTATGGGGTGTGTTAGTAGAAATATCAAATTTTTTTAAGTAAAATTGTTTAAAATTTTGAATAAAAAAAAATTGTTTTAATACTAGTAAATTTTACTAGCCAATTAAAAATTAGATATAATATTTAGAAAAAATCTAATGATCATCTGTGGTGATATAAGTTTTGCCAAATTTTAGAGTTAGGATACAGTTTAAGACCAAGACAGAGGTCAGTTATAATAGTCCCAAATTTAGATTATGCAAGGTTTTTAGAGGTTCTAAATATTTTTATTTAGTATATCTAACCCACATTTTATAGTTTTGTTTTTAAGATATAGCAATACATGTAATAATTATCTGTGGTGTTAATTAGTAATTTTCTAATATTTAAATTAATTTTGTATAACAAAAATAAAAAATTATTAATAATTTAAAAATATAAAATTTAGAACTTTTTTCACTAATCATCAAAACAAAATTCAAAAAAACAAAAATTATTTAAAAAACAACCAAAATACACAAAGACTACTAGAAAACCAAACTTGAAGCTCTAAGAAAAAATTAAAAAGACTACAAGAAATACTTAGTCTCTTAAGAAACTTGAGAAATAAGAGCAGAAGCAGTAAAGAAATAAAAGAAGTTATGAAAAATCATTGATATTTTTTTGTACTTTGTGAATTTTTGGAGAATTAATCTTAATCCTGAATTGCAGATCTGTTTTGGTAATAGTGACTTAGTGAAGTGGTTAAGTTATCACACCCCTAAGCAATATGTTGGCTAGATAGGAGGTTCAAAACTCAT